CGGGTGCCCGTTGCTCTGCAGCGTGTAGTCCGCCTGCACCAGCGTCTGTGCATCCCTGTAGCCGGCGCCCGGCTGCATGCTCCCCGGCGGCTCTGCATGCACCATGGAGGAGCTGGAGGTGAGCAGGCTGTAGTGGTTAGACGCTGTGGTCGCCATGACTCTCCGAGCCGGACTGATCGCTCTGGTTAAAGGAGCCGCGCATTTGACAGCTACTTTTTCGCCTCGGGCAGGGGGGGAAAGGGAGCTTTGCTGCGTGTAACCACATGGACCCGGGAAGGGGAGGGGGTGCGGGGGAGGGGGATGGTTCTCAGCGCGACGACCCCTCTGTACATAGGAGAAGCAAGTATCCTACCCGCCTCTGCCCAGACACAATGCAGGTCCTGGAGGAGATGCATGTTGTTCTCCTGTTGCTTGCAGCGTTGCAAACCAGGCTGGCTCGTTGCATGCTTTAAACGCTGTTTGCTTTTGTGCGCGCACGCGCTCCGCAGCGGAGCCATGTGGAGCGCGAGAGCGCGACGACCCCTCTGTACATAGGAGAAGCAAGTATCCTACCCGCCTCTGCCCAGACACAATGCAGGTCCTGGAGGAGATGCATGTTGTTCTCCTGTTGCTTGCAGCGTTGCAAACCAGGCTGGCTCGTTGCATGCTTTAAACGCTGTTTGCTTTTGTGCGCGCACGCGCTCCGCAGCGGAGCCATGTGGAGCGCGAGCTGTTGAGTGGAATATCTTTAAGGACCGGCTGGATTGCAAGGATGGCACTGGTACAAGAGTGAGATCACTGTACCCCAGGCATTTGTTCGCGCTGGAAGTCACACGGGAGCTTCATCAATGCTGCTCTGTTGACTCGCGGTGAAACCGCCCCCCCCTTCCTCCGTCCACGCGCCGACTCCTTGAGATTTTTAAAATAAATTGCAACTTTGTTAGCAACACTTTAAAAAGAAACCCGAGCTGCGCATTTGTAGCTAGAAGGGAGGCGCTGGAAATCCCCGAGCGGGTGGGCGAATGCGATTCCGCTATAGTCGTTGCACCCAGCAGGTGCTCCCGGGCCCCAGTGCAAGAGGGTGCTGATGACACGGGTGCTGCCGCACTCTGGGAAGGACAAGAGGCTCTCGCAATTCCCAAACTGCCCCAGCAGCAGGTGCTACCCGGGGAAAAACATCCAGCGAAGAGTTTCAGGGTTTATACCTTGTAAATCACAAATCCGGGCCAGTCTGGCATTGGGGGGGGGTGGATGTTTACAGATCAGCTTCAGCGACTGTGTTTTCTGCGAGAAAAAAAAAAGATAAACGAGTTGCTGGCTGAACAGGCAACAAGGACATTATGGAATTGGATGCGGATCTCTTAGGAATGAGCGGTACTCGGGTTGGCCATGGTAAAGAGATGGTTTTCCATTTTTGAGTGGAAAGCACAGCTTTGTCTTGAAAATAAACTACTGGGGGAAGCGGGGCTGCTCTGTAGACTCAAAGTATCTTAATCGAAACAGTACAATAGGGCAGACTGGAGAATTTATTACTACTAACACGCAGCAGCTTTCTTCTGCGAGTTGTTTTTATAAATCACCATACTTAACACACAGCCTTTGAGAAAGGCTGTTTGGCTGGAAATATTCATCTGTATGAGTGTGTGGACGGCCTGTCTCACACAAGCATATACCCAGGGACAACTTAAGCAGGACATTTCGTGTTAGGAAACCAGGACACACGCAGGAGTACCTTGCTGAGTTAGTTTAGCTTCATATTAAGAGATTGTCCAGCAAGGAACCAACTCGGCCCATGTGGGAATCGTTTAAGCTGCAAGCAAGAGAAGATTTTTGCTTGGCATTTTCCCTCTCCTGTGGTGTGAGGAAGACAAGCAAAAAGCAATACTCTGCTCTGCGGGTGTCTATGAAAAGTCAGTGTATATTTTATGTCTTTGGATTGTTTCCACTACAGAAATCGCACTTTTGCTCATGTATTAAGGACAGTCACAGTTTGATTCTGAAATGCTAGTGTGATTTGTCAAAATCAGGTATAATATTCTGCGTGGATATAAGAACAAGCAAAATCTGCAACAAACTTCCACTAAAACAACCAAACCTTCCTGAATAGAATCACAATATAGCATACCCCAGAGTAAAGCGCTGTTCTCATTTACTGTTGGGCGCAAATGCTTTTTCAAGGCTGAATTGGAGCTGGCTTGTCTTCAAATGAAAGCACCAGCATAGGCTGCAAGACCAGTTTTTGAAGTGCATGTATGTGCCTGGGGTGGTTACACGTGTTATCCTTAGAAAGTCAATGAGAAAGTCACTTCTTCCATAACACAAAGCAGGCGTAGTTCACATATTTACCCCCAGCTGATATTTCTATATGGTGAAACTTATCCCTCAACTGGACAAAACACACAAGACATTGAGCAGAGAGCAGGCACCACACATTAGAATTTCTATCTACAGCGCAGCAATCTGAAATCCGCCTTATGCAACTTAAAAGTTCCTCGCGTCTCTTTCGCTTCCCCCCTCCCCACCTCCCGGTTATGCACAGACGAAGAGCCAGGGACGATATATACAATCGCTGTTCCGCGTGCTCAATACCCCTAATAAATCACTGGCAGACATCAAAGGCTCCTGGCAATCACGCAATTTCAAAAGTATGTA